TTATTATTATAATGAGAACATTAGATTCAAACATGAACCGTTGTGTTGATCTGTAGCTGACGGAGGCAGATTAAACAATAATAGATCTGAGATCCATTCATTCAGTTTTAAACTCAAATGAAGCCGATGAATTAACGTGAATCACAAACTGCCGGGGGACGTCAGTGTGAGCAGCAACAAATAACTCACTGACTCACCTGCAGCTCAGGTGCGTGACAGCAGAGAAGACGTAGAGAACCAGAGGCAGCGACGACGCGTCCACAGAGAAGCCCTGACCTTCAGGACCCTGCAGCCGAACTCCCAGGATCCCCTGAGGGGGTCAGAGGTCAAAGAGGTCAGACACACGTGGCGGTCAAACCCGAGGAGGCCAAACAAACAGTACAGGACGGTGTCAGTACCCCCCCTTGCAGGACGGCGAACATCAGGAACCTCGTGAGCATGTAGACGGCGGCCAGCAGGGGGCTCCACACGCTCAGAGTCTCGTTGTGGAGCTGGAAGAGACTGAGGACGTAACAGCGCCAGGACAAGTCCACGGGACGATACCCGGACAGGATGAACTGCTGCCGGAACAGAGGGGGGACATCCATGTCTGGCAGCGTCGGGGGGAGGGAGGGGAGGAGGCGCTCCAGCAGAGGGAGGAACAGAGTGGGAGGGGAGAACGACACCCGAGGCATGATGGGATACGATCCTGATGATTTCTGTGAGAAAAATGAACAATTAAAGGTCCAGTGTGTAAGATTCAGGTGAAAGGGAAATTTAATGAAGAATAATCCTCATGATGTTTTCACGAGTTCGTTTCAGGGGGGAGGGGCGTTCAGCTGCAACATGACACTTCAACACTAGATGTCACTAAATTCTACACACTGAACTTTTAAAGTGAAATGAGGTGAAAGACCACAGACTGTGAATAAAGACAAGGACACACGACCACGGAGGAGGAGGATCGGGACCACATGGAATATTTTTACTTTTTTAATTTTGGGGGGGAGAAAGAATTCTGAAAAAGAAGAAAAGAAAGAAAAGTCTCTTTTCTTTAACTCATGAAAATTCACAGGGCACTAATTACCCTCCATACAGACACAGTCATAAACCTACCTGACTTTCTTCTTCTTCAGAAAACGTTTCTGATTTTTCGTTGTTTTGTTCCGTGTCACTGGCTGTTCGCTGCTTGGTCCTGCTGCACAGCCACCACGGTCACACACACACACACACACACACACACACACACACACACACACACACACACACACACACACAGACACACTGTGTGCTCTTGTTTTCAACTAATCAGAGCTAATTTCATTCTGCTGAGGATTTCAGACGTCATGAGACTCGACACACACACACACACACACACACACACACACACACACACACACACACACACACACACACACAGTTTGAGAAAGTTTCTTTTACCACTCGGTTCTGATGCTTTTCACCAAACAAAGTAAAGTCGACAAGTTTCATATTGTGTGTTTTTAATTACACATACATGGTCAGAGGATCAAACACAATCACACAAATCAACACAACCAATCGGCAGATGTTGAATGTTCTCCTCTCTGAGCTGCAGCTTCAGTTCTCGCTGGTTTTGGCCCAGACGCAGGTGCAGCCCACGGCCACCGACATGTACGACGCAGTGAAGCACAGCGCCCCCCGCTGCCGGTTCAGGACCAGGACGCTCTGGTAGATGGGAACTGACATCAAGCTGTCTTTCTTCGGCCCGGAGCAGAAGACGTCGATGCACTCGGCCTCCCAGAGGGTGGAGGGCACCCGGTTCTTCACGGTGGACGACCTGAAGACACAGCAGCAGCAGCACAACCGTCAGGGCACAGTGAAACAACAGACACTCAGTGTGTGTGTGTGTGTGTGTGTGTGTGTGTGTGTGTGTGTTGTCAAACTGACCTCCACCTCCATGGTGACAGAGACCTGTTGTGGATGCTGTTCTGTCTGCCAGAAAAGGAGGCGACCTCGGAGGAGAACGCCAACAAGGAGTCACATCCAGGAGGAGGGGGGGCTTTAACCCCAGAGGAGGAGGAGGAGGAGGAAGAGGAGGAGGACACGACTACCCACAATGCAATGCAACACACCTGTGGACAGGATGAAAGATTATAACTCAAAATTCAGGAAATGTTTTTAACCAGGTCAGAGTGTGTTGCGAACGTGTGTGTGTGTGATGTTGTGTTTCTCTTGTGTTGATGCGTCAGAATTTTTCTTGTCGTCCTCAAACTCTTCTTCAATATTCTGTCACTTCTTATTGTTTGTGTTTTTTATAAACGGTCTGTGGCTCAGAGTGAAGTGAGAACATGTTGTAAGTTTGAATGATTCACAGAACTGATGTTATTTTTCATTCATCAAACGACACAATCTTCACACACAAAATCTCAACTTTTCAGAATAAAAGCTCTGTAATTCCACTGGATACAACACAATGGACATTTTGCTTTTACTTGAAGACAAGTTGCTAAAGAGGAAGTGCATCTATGAATGTTGTTGCCGTGAGGGCCTCCAGCGAATGTCTCAGTCCGACGTAATGAAATAAAAATCATCAAAATATCATCGGTTGGTGTCAGTGGATGAACGTGATGCTCACCAGCAGTTCCCCGACGCTGCGTCTCAGCCTCATGTTGTGGACGTGGTCTGGTTCCTGAGAGTGACGGCTCTGAGTTCAGCTCCATTTAAGAAGATGTGCGATCCTCAGATCACAGCGATGTCAGAGCTGATAACCGGCGGCAGACATGACGGGGAGATTCCTGTTATCGCTCAGATTTATCTGTGTCAGTTTGTGGAATCAAGCGTTCACTGATATCATCACGACAGAAATGAGTCAGGTCTACAGGCTGGGAACATAGTGAGAGTTAATCTCAGATTCAAATTAATTATTTTGTTTTCCAAACAGAACTTATATATAAAAAGTACAAATCATTTCTCACATGGTTCTCACCCTGTTCTGTAGATTTCAACCTGACTCAACATCTCTGCAGATAAAGATCTGTCGGCTCGCAGCCTGTTTGTCCTTTGTGTTGTTAAATTCTAGTTAAACCCAGAATCCTACATTTTCTTCCAGAACATATTTCACATGGTTCTAATTCCCCTCCACAGAATTTGGTGAAATGTGAAAGTGTAGAATATTTTCATTTGTCTTTTCAAGTCTTGGATTTACACATTTTACAATATTTCATAAAATCATAAAATGATCTCAGATCCAGCTTCACTGTTTCTTTAACAATAATTTAACTTTCGGTTTTTCCACTTTGCTCTCGACCTCCTGTTTAAAGTGTCTTGAGATAACGTCTATTCTGATTCGGCTCAGGTTTATCTAACTTGTTCAAAGGGAGTTGAAAGTGTTTTGTTGAGCCAATAACAACTCTGATTGTCTGCTGCTAGCCGTCAGTTAGCATGTCTGTTAGCATGTCTGTTAGCATGGTGCTGACGGTGTCTGTAAGGAGGTGGAGGCCGCAGCCGACAGAGCACCGTGTGAACCCATGTTCTTCTTCATGAGCATCGGGACAAACTCCACAGCCAGTTCTCCGGATTTGACCCAAAGGTCTTGTTTGAAAAAAAGTGTTTCCTCTGGATTCTTAAGTATTTTCTGATCATCATATAAAAACGTCACCTGTTGGTTGAGGACAAATCTATGACCTGATGTTTCTAAGATGTTTTTTAAGTTACAATAAGTCAACATGTCCATTTTTTAATTTTCAAATGTTGTGCCCCCTGGTGGCGATAACAGATACTGTGACAGATGGACTAAAAACATCTTTCTCCAGACTG